ATATCCCAAATCTAAATAACTATAAAATAGATTAATCGGGCAGGTTGTGTAGACAAAAGCCACTATGCTTTGTATAGAGAGACTTCGACTGGACCACGATTCAGAAACAGAAACGTCAGCATCCGTTACACGTCATACCGCGACCACGTGACCAACAGGTTGGTTTAGACCTTGGGGCCGTTGCGACTTCTAATCGTGGTTGAAAAATAAGATAAAGCGCACCGTTCGGATCTCCATTTGGCAAGTTGTTATTTATTATTGTCATTATTATTGTATTTAGCTTCGTTTCCTTTTCACATACACTTAAATAAGTTTCTGTTTGATGTATTTTCTTCTGGCATTTCCTCGCTTACGTCAGTTTTGGTTTTTTTTTCATTAAATAACTGGCAAAGACCATGTACATTAGGCCATTTAGTTGTTACTCAGAAACACTTAACTTTGTTTGAATCTTATGATTCGTCTGTTACATTGGCATGATTTTTCCTCGCTCTCTTACTGTAATATTATACATGCACCACACCCATGTGTGCATATGTACTTCTCAAAGGACCAGATGGATGCGCCTGTGAAGGGTCCCCTTTACAGCTCCACCAACAACAGCACTCAGAATTAAAGCACCAGCTGCTCTGTTGCTCATTATAGACTGTCTTGCGTGCGCACCAACTCGCACACAGTTGCTAGTTATGTACACGTAATGTTAGACAAAGCACCCTCCATGAAGGTGTGTGTGTGTGTGTGTGTGTGTGTGTGTGTGTGTGTGTGTAAGAAATTTTAATCATGTAGAGAAAATCTCGTATGATGGCAGCCCTGTAGCAATAGCTGAAGTTTCCGATAGAGTTAAAATCCCTTTTTGATTTATTATTTCAGTCAGCCCCTGGTCGAGGTTTTATGGCAAGTAAAGGCTATATTAATTAGATCTTAATAAAAGTTATTTCCAACAATGAGTCATGCTGGATACATTGGATGACATATAAAAATTAAATAAATATTCTTTGTTGGATATCTGCTGGTTTTATTGCAAATGAGCAGAAAGCATAATCGGAGTCAGGATGATCTCAAAAACTGAGGCTTTATCTACAGAACAGCATGCTGACAACTGAAAGAAGAGCTCCCTCTCAGGACTCTACAAGCAAATTGACATTTGAGGAGAAGCGTTACAACCCAGAGGACCCTACACTCACATTTGTAGACAGAGATGATGAAATGGATTGTAAGTCTTCACATCAAGAACTGTAAGTTTCCTACAGTGCACTGTGTAATCGTAATAGCATTTGTTTTCATGTGTGACTCAGTCTTATGTGAGGACTTCAAGTCTCTGAGAGCACTGATGTCTTGTGGTCATGCTGTCACTCCCATGTCTCTCACCAAATGGTGTCGTCGGTTGCTGGATCAGGTAGGACGTTATACGATCACCTAGTCACAAACCCAAATAAGTAGCAGTGATGTTTAACCTGACTGTATAGCACATGACCGCTGAGCTGTGTCACAAAATAAGGTGCCCGTTTAACATTTACTGGAATATAATGGAGTACTCACAACTCTCTCTGAAATCAAGAACTTTTGTGTGACATGTTTTGTTATACCTATGGTGCTTTCAAACACAAATTGTAGCTGATGTAATCTGTGTTTTGAAGGGAAGGATAGGAGCAAAGAGCTTGTTGATCTTTGGAATTGGTGTATGGTTAGGATCATTCTGTCAGAGCAGTGCATGGCCCAACCCTTTAAAAACAATTATTAGGTACTTAGCCTCTAAATTGTATTGTTTTATTACTGACAGGAAAAGTGTGGCTAAAGGGAGGGGTGTGGTGCTTTGCGTTCCAAGTTGGAGCAGAAAAGCCTTATAAGTTTCCTGACTTTAAACAACAGGTCACCAGTGTAAGAATAGATTACGTTTGTTTTTTTTAGACCAGTATAGTTCTCAAATTTCCTTTCTGGCATGCCCTACTTCAATAGCAAAAATAAATACATAAATAAAGCATTTAATCAAGTGTAATATTTTCCTCTGGTCTTTATGTATTTTTGTATATTCTGTTTCAGGGTGAGAGCAAGTTTTTGTGCGGCCAGACTGGCTGTGATGCTGAGTGGTCCTTTGAGGAGGTTTGTAAAATGGCTCTTCTAACCCCTGAAGAAATCGAGTACTTTGAAAAGAAAATGTTCAGCAACTCTAAGGATTTCTTTGATGTCAAATGCGTAAGTTTGTTCGTTACAGTTTTTATTTCTGCACCATATTTGTCTAAATGTTGTGCCTTAAAAAATCTTTTTTTTATTAACAGTGTCCTGGCTGCAAGTCTTCTGTGCTGAGAGCTGACTTCAGTAATCTGTGTGTTGAATGTACACTGTGCAAAGCTGATCTAAATCGGACCTTCATGTTCTGCTGGCAGTGTTTGAGGAAATGGAGAGGTACAGGCCCACGTTCAGACCGATGTCAGAATGATGGCTGTGTCAATAAGTCCTTAGAAATTCTGAGAAACTGTCCAGATATCACCTTTAAGGATGTGGAGGGCATCACTGGCTGTCCCTCAATCCGTGCTTGTCCCACATGTGGCTTCCTAGTGGAGCATAGCACAACTGGGTGTAAAAACATTTTCTGCACACGTTGTAAGGTGGAGTTCTGCTTTGTTTGCCTTAAAATCACTGATGACTGTTCGGAGACAAGTGAATGTTTTGGGCCTTGCTCCAGTGGTGTGGCTCCTAGACAGTAACTGTGTGGCAGTGGAATGATTACTAGAGGGTCCCGAAATGTTCTTATTATGTGATTCACAGAGAAATAAATAACAGCTCAGTAAGTTGATAAAGCCTAATTTGAAACTCACCACAGTGCTACAGTTACTTACCACAATCTAACGTGCTGACTTTTTCTTTACACAGAGAGATAAGCCTGATTAAGGCCAGTCATCATTGCCTTAACAGATTCTAACATCCTTTCATTTCTTTAACCCGCCCTCAACACACACACACACACACACACACACACACACACACACACA